CACTGCTTCAAAGTGATGTTTAATTACCATGAAAAACACCCCTTCCCCCCCGGAAGTCAAGTGAATAGCCAACTTGACCCGTAACAATGCAGGAGGATGCATAACAAGTGGTTTTGGAGTGTCAAAATTTTTACCCAAACTGAGAAGTTGGAAGTGGTAGGGAAACGGGAGCATTATGCGAAACATTCAAGACAAGTTGAGCTCGTTCACGCTGGGTATATCCGTGTCAGCGGACCGACAGAGCGCTTCAAGACGAAACGTACACCAGAGGATGAGTGTGATGGGGCGGGGGGATGAGATGAGGGAGAACGACAACGAGGAATCTCATCATTGCTGGGACTATCCAACGGCTGTACGAGGCGCTCTCTCGCCCCCGATTACGTCATACTCGCCACTGACGTTCTCCTCCGGTGGAGTAACGAGCATTCCAAGCATTATACGGCTTTTCCTCCTGTCCTCCTTTCTGACCCTTAACGCCGTGCCAATGGCTGCACTCGGTTGGAACAATTTTTCGATGAAAGTAAGGGGTGAATTCTGGGATTTTGCTGGGAGAGGAGTTTTGGTTTTTAGGGATATATTCGCTATTCTTCGAATAATCCTACGGCATCCTAAAATTACTAGTTTAGGGCATCCTAATTTAGGATTGTAGGATTAAAATTACGGATATATCCCTAAGAAATTTTAGGATGCCGTAAATTGCGAAAACTTAAAAACTAAAAATTTTGTTTCTTTGTGTAAATAGGAAATTTTAATGGGATTGTTTAGATCTGCTCCGCTGGAGTATAGTGAGCATTCCGAGCATTATACTGTTTCTCCTCCTGTCTTCTTTTCTGAATCTTAACGTCGTACCAATGTCTGCACTCGGTTGGAACAATTTTTCGATGAAAGTTTAAGGGGTGAATTCGGGGTTTTGCTGGGAGAGGAGTTTTGGTTTTTAGGGATATATTCGCTATTCTTGGAATAATCCTACGGCATCCTAAAATTACGGATATATCGCTAATAAATTTTAGGATTTTAGGAATTTTAGGATTAAAATTACGGATATATTCCTAAAAAATTTTGGGATTTTAAGAATTTTAGGATTGTAGAATTAAAATTACGGATATATCCCCAATAAATTTTAGGATGCCGTAAATTGCGAAAACTTAAAAACTAAAAATTTTGTTTCTTTGTGTAAATAGGAAATTTTAATGGGATTTTTTAGATCTGCTCCGCTGGAGTATAGTGAGCATTCCGAGCATTATACTGTTTCTCCTCCTGTCCTCCTTTCTGACCCTTAACGCCGTGCCAATGGCTGCACTCGGTTGGAACAATTTTTCGATGAAAGTTTTAAGGGGTGAATTCTTGGATTTTGCGGGGAGAAGTTTTGGTTTTTAGGGATATATCCGTTATTCTTGGAATGATCCTTTATTAGGGATATATCCCTAATAAATTTTAGGATGCCGCAAATGCCTAAAAATTGAAAACTAACAATTTCGTTTCTTTGTGTGAAAATAGTAAATTTTAATGGGATTTTTTCGATCTTCTCCTCCACTGGAGCAGTGAGCATTCTGAGTGTCAGACTGTTGTTCTTCCTGTACTCCTTTCTGACCCTTAACGTCATGCCGATGTACGCACTCGGTTGGAACGAATTTTTTAATGAAATTTTTAAGGGGTGAATTCTTGGATTTTGCAGGGAGAAAAAAGTTTTGTTTTTAGGGTCATATCCGTCATTTTTAGAATTTTGAATTCAGTGATTCTGAGGACATTTTCAAAATTTAGGCTTATGCCACCGAACAATAATGGCAAAATCACTTGATTCTACGATTTCTCGTCTGTTAAATTTTAAGATGCCGCAAATTTTTAAAAAGTAAGAATTAATTATTTTATTTCTTTCTATAAAAATAGAGAATTCCAACAATTAAAATTTGGAAAACTAGAATTCTCCACCTTATTTTAATTCTTTACAAAACATGAATATTCAGAACCGAATTACCCTGAATTTTCAATTAATTGAAAATTCAACAATATATTTACCTGATTTAATAATCCTGACTTTGATTAATGTTTATGAAATAATTAAATGAAAATTTACAGTTTCAATGGGTTTTTAACCAAATTGTGAAATCCAAATGATAAAATTCCATTGATTTTTTAAATCAAATTATCAATTTAAAAAAATCCTTAAATTTCTTGAAAAATCGCTTAAATCACGACATTTTGAGGATAAAATGTCGTGCAACGTCATGAAATGTCACAAAACATACAGAAACGGTTTCAGAGTTCGCCAATTTTGCTTTCTCCCAGCCCCAAACGACAGTTCCAAATACCATAATCCAACAATTTTTATATCCACCGCAATTCCCCCTGATTTCCACAATTTCCCAATGAATTAGCAAGACAAATAGGCTCCACTTAATGACGATTGTGATCACGATGAATTTAGATCGAGAACAAGAGAATTCAGAAGTTCTCGGAATAATAATAGAGTCCCCGATCGTTGATGAGAGTTCATCGTGCCCTGGCTTTATCTCGATCTAGAACTGTACTTTGAATAAAGTCTTCTCATCACTTGATTCACCATTGCGAATCGTCTTATTTGACTTCGAACGAGACTTTTTCCCCGGCCATTTGAATTATCTAACCAGATCGGGGCTCCCACACACATCCGACTGTATTTGAAAATCAAATTTTGCTGCGGAATGGAAGATAGAAGAAAAAACTGCGCGAGATTTTCATAGACATTCTGCAGTGGCTCGACCGGTCGGAGATAAACGCTCGTAAAATCTACAGATGAGGCATCTAAAATTTAGATGACTGCAGAGAAAGTTTAGTCAGTTAAGAGTTTATCGCACGGTGCGCGTGGAGACTCGAAGGGGATAAAGAAAATTTTTGCAATATCCCGAGCGATAAAAAAAAACACTCCAAATTTATGTGGGGCAATCCTCGTTGGAAAAAGTTCCTGATAAGAATCATAATCATCATTTCAAGGTTGAGTGGAATATAACAGTTGAGTAATAATGTAAAGCAGTAATTATTGAATTTTGTCTGTCTATCCAAGTACTTTTACATTTTCAATCATCAGATTTGTGAATTAAATTGCGTGAGAAAAATTTGAAAAAAATCATGAACATTCAGCTTCATTGAAATTACATTTTGCACAGAATTATAATTTTTTTAAACCTTTTGTTGTTTATAAATGAATAATTGAAATTGTTTAAACTTTCGGAAACCTTATTCTTTTACATGAAGCAAATATTATAATCATTAAAAAAATTCATTAGTTTTGAATAAATTCCTCTATTGGAATCAAATACATAATTTCCATGACCCACATGAAGGATTATTGCACACTAGTCCAGTTTTTCGCGTTTTTTATATGAAAAAAACCGCGACGAGACAAGCCGAGACAAATCCGAAATTTTACATTAAAAACCCCCAAAAACTTGAGACCGAGATGAGATAAATTGACTTGGAGTCATCACGAGAGGAGTCGATATTGCGTATTTCGAGACTCAGACAAGAGCAAAGATTTCCATGTTCATTGCGACCGGGATCATCTCTCCAAAGTTTTGTCTCGTAAAGTGTCTCGCGGCATCACTATCGACGATGAAAAATTTTATTGGATTATTATCATGTAATGATAATTGATGAATGCATTCTCTCGCTGTCCAAACTATTCAATCTCCACCAAATAAAATCGTCATTTGTATCAAGAGCCCATTTGTTTATATCCATTTATTAGATGTGATTGTGTACACGGAGAGAAATATTCAAGAAAAATTACGGAACGCGTTGTTACAATCTCCCCCTCACGGTGACTCATGGCTAGCCGTGAGGCGTCGGACGGATGAGTAATTTTTACGGAACAGATCGTAGAATTTACGTGACGATTGACACTTTTTATTGAATTTTACTTCGCTCCCAGATTACGTTTCGAAACGTAATTTTTACGTCTATTTTCTGGTAATTTTTATTGAATATTTCTCTCCGTCTATTCTACTTTGTTCTCTGGGTCAGGCATGCATGACTGCACGGCCCCGTGACAAGTGTCACCGACCTACCAACACTCAAATGCATTCCACACTGCTCATAATTTCACAAACCCGAGGAGATTCACGCAATTGGATTGATCGAAATCGAGATAGCTTTGGTGCCGTGAGGATCCCAATGGAGCTGACCATCGGGTGATGGACAGCTGTGCAATACCAGAGCGGACAGACGTCCAAGATAAGGTGGGGGGTGATGCAATACTCGCAATCATACGGGAGAAAGTAGTGTGGCCTTACAGCGGGATAAGCGCTTCGGCTCTGTGCGCGTTGCGGGCAAATCTCTCAATGGCCGTAACTCTTGGCATACGTTTCGTAAAACCGAGGATTTCCACTTCTCCGAGAGCGTCTCTGGTCATATCCGTTGGGCAAGATACATATCCGATTTTAGTTCGTGGATTTTTTTATTCAATGGGTATCTTGATTTTTTTCCAGTGAGAATTGCTTCAGCATTATTTAATCCCGCGGAATGAGGAGAGAAAATTGTGAAACTTTGGTCGAATAAAAGAAAATATTTTTTTTCAAAAAATTCACGTTTTTAGAATTTTTCTGGCACATTGTTGATCGGATTGACGTGAACAAATATACCATTTTTGCGTTTTATCATTACTTAATGACTCACGAAATTTCATGATCCTGCAATCATTTTCCTGCGTTTTTTCTATAACTTTTCGGAAATTCACAAAACTTTAGAAAAAATGCAGGAAAATTATTGCACTACCATGAAACTTCGGGAGTCAGTCAATAATGATGAAACGCAAAAACGGTATATTATTTCGCGTCAATCCGATCAATAATTTGCCAGAAAAATGAAAAAAAGCGTGAATTTTGGCCGAAAGGGTGCGTTTTTAAATTGCAGATATTTGAATTATACAGGTCGAATTGTGCACAATAAATTGAACATTCACAAGTTTGACTGTACATTTATACCGTGTAATTATCATTTGAGGATTACAATTTCTGTGGACAAGATCTCAACGCAAATCATCAAATGTGTCAAAAATGAAGGAACTCCATCATCTGTAATATGATGGCGCCTAACTGGAAGACCCGGGTTCGAATGCCGGCTGGTGGATCGGGATTTTTTTCTCTCTAAATTTTAATTCTATTTGAATTTACATTTGGTATTTCTACATTGTAATTTATTTTGGTACATTTCTGTTTGAATTTTCTAGTACATCCTTAAATTAGACGTCTTGAAGGCGCTAGTTGTTCCATTCCCCTACGAACCCATAAAATTTCTCATATTGGCGTGGCCCCGGCATGAATGAGCAGTATAATTCACCGAGCGAAATGACGCTGGTCAGAGTGGCGACAACCTGATGAACGACTGCTCTTTTGTTCTCTCATGAATTCCTGGCCTGCACCCCCGGCACTTGGCAGTATCACCAAAAAACAAGAAAGATGCCCAACAATTTACGCTTGTTCAGCCATACAAGCGTGGAGAACTAAAACAGAGGGAGTGAAACGGTTATTCCAAAGTTGTTGGAACTCGACGAAACTCCAGATGTAGTCGGTGTATGGTCTATTAATAAAAGAGAGACAAACCCACTGGTTCTGCAGCGGCGAGTGTTTACAAGCGTCTGATTTCTCTCTCACTGGTATACCACTCGGTGTTGCAGTCAAAACCCGAGGTGAATCACTCGCGTGAGTGGCCCAAGTGGCGTTGTCGTACAGACGGGGGAGAATTATTACTCCGTCTTTAGACTTGTGTCAAATTGGCTTGCTTGAAGCATGGAGTTTCAGGTTTACTGCTACTGAATTGTTACGTTGGGATTCTGTTTTCAGTCGGCAAATGTATTTAGAAAGGGGTTTCATTGGGGAATTTCAACGATTGTAACAGATGGTGCCTCGAGGTAAACTCGCATACAAATTAGGAGTGGAGTTTTTAATTCAGGGGAATTTTTATAAGATTTATGAGTTTGGACAATTTTTCCGGGGAATATGGGAAATTGTCTTGGGCTCTAGAGGAAAATTTCAGATTTTTTCAGGATTGTAATGATTAAATCTGCGGATTAAATTGCGTCAGTCAAAGGGAGGAAAGGACATGAGGAGAAACTGCGCTTTTTGCGAAAGCAAATGCCAAAGAATCAAGAAATAAAATTTAAAAACGCTCATTTAGTTATGTTTAAGGGGATACTATGTACACTGCTAACAAAATTTCGATGAATTTGTCGGAACAAGTCGTTGAATTCGACTTAAGAGGGAGAAGTGAATGGGATTTCAAGTTTCTCTGAAAATTCAAGTAAAGTCCCATTTTTTTAGCGACAGTAATTCTCCAATTTACATGATGTTTCAGGTGAAAATGAATATTCCCTGCAAAGTTGCTTGAATTTCGAAGGAATTCATTTGAAATTCTGGGAATTCCATGAATTTTCAAAGGAATTCTCTGAAAATTCAGATAAATCTGGAATTCAAGGAGAAATTTCTCTGAATTTTCCTGATTTTTTATCAATTTTTCCGGAATAATTCAACTTAAATTAACAGTTTCCACGGATTTTTCCATGAAATTATGAATTTTCAACGACAAAATTCCTTGAAATTTCAGTAGACATGTTACTTGTTAAAAATTTCCAAAAGTCTGACGGGAAATTCCAGTGAAAAATTTTTAAGTGTATGAATTAACAAAAATTTGATTCAATTAAGATTTTATTCCTCTAAACCCTCTTGTCAACAAAAAAAATCAAGATCTACTGCTGTATTATTTTCTTATATTGAAACTGAATTCTAAACTCATCAGCACCATGCGGTCTTCCCTTAATCTAAGACGAATCCTAATTCTTTTCAATTGGATCGTTTTTTTCATTTCGTTAATTTGTCAAATGATAGAAAAATGGTCTTGAACGTAATTCGTTAAATTCCAGTACTTCATTAAAAACATTAATTGGATGAATATATTCTCTCCTTCTGATTTATTAACCGGTAGTGTCAAGCTAACTAGACTCACCACTTGATTTTATCACCCACTTTTACACTTTATTCTTGTTTCCCACCCGAGTAGTAGTGAATTTAAAAAACCGTGTCGTTGCGTAAAACTCACAATTGTCAATGGCGCAAAAAATGAATCCACGTGCAATAGAGTATCCATACACATTGCCGCGTAATTCCGCTCCGCAATTGCTGCAGGCGATCATTTCACAACGTTTTTTCCTCATTTGAAATTTATTTTCCACGCGTCATTTATTCCTGAACACATAAGTCGGGGGTAGCGCGAATTAATTGCGATTGCGCGCTATGAAAATGCCGATGCATACAAATGAGAGCCTCTATTTTTTACCTCTCTTTTTTATTATGAACTATTTTGCGCTAAAAAACTGTTCGATTACTCACTTTTGCAAATTTCCGCATTTTTTGTGTCCGTTTTGACATTGAAAATTTATGTTTTGACGTTCATTCTCACGCAACAGTATTGGAATGTCAAGTCTGTATAGTGTTAGTCACAAGTCACAACGGAAACAAATCAATTGACCCACGATGGAATAAAAAATCCCTACAATTTTCCAATTATTAATTCAGCCCTCTTCAATGACTCACTTTTCCAATTTCCCCGTTTTTTATTCTCATTCTAACACATCCAGATAGAAATGTCAAGTCTGTACAATGTCTCTCACAAGTTACAACGGAAACAAATCAATTGACCCACTCTGAGCTTTTAAAACTACAATTTAATTCGATATGAGCACCTCCACACGGAATAACATATTTATAACCGCATTAGCATTCGAAATGGCTATGGTGCGTGTGAAAAAGGTGACTATTTGTCCGAGTGCAAGTGAAATTGATCCCACACGAAGTGTTGTTACAAGTGAATCAACACACAGAAAAACCTAAACGTAAATTACGTTTTGATAAACATAATTTACACTTAACGTCATTATGATGTCTGGTGGCTTTTTTCCGTCATGAAAATCGGAATTTAGGCTTTAAAAAACGTATTCTATGGTCAAAATAAAAACGTAAATTATGCTTGAACAAAGCGTATTTTACGTTTATCAAAACGTCAATTACATTTATCAAAAATACGAAAAAATCATCGTAATTTATGACGATTTTGAGCGTAATTTACGATTGCGAAGTCGTAAATTATGTTTATGAAAACGTAATTTACGTTTATAATTGTCGTAAATTACGATTTATAATCGTCGCGAATTATGTTTATGTAATCGTAATTTACCGCCATTTTAAGCGTAATTTACGAATTTGTAGTCGTAAATTACGTTTATGTAATCGTAATTTACGGCGATTTTGAGCGTAATTTCCGCTTCAACTTCAACCATAAAAGACGACTTCTTAAACGTGATTTACGTTTAGTTTTATTTGTGTGAACATTATTTTCCCCGAAAAAAAGCGAAAAATATCGTGCGTTTGCGAGTGAAAATTGAAAAAAAAATTGAATAGACCCCGACAAAACCGCCTCGTAATATTAATGAATGAGGCCACCATTGTGTGCCCACCGGTGGAATAAAAAATCCTTACAATTTTCCAATGATTAATTCAGCTCCCTTCAATGATTCTTTAATTCGCGGGACAAGCGAATCCCAGATGATTGATGAGCCAGCGTTAAATTAGAATGTTAAAGAGCTCCGGAGTGGACTGGTGAGTTGGCCAGTGCTTGATGATCGGTTTGAATAAGTGTTGTATGCAAATACTGGATAAAATGCTATTAGTATTCTTGGCACGAGCCAGTGTCATTTGAATAATTAATATCCATCCCCAGGATGATTAAAATCGAAGCGGTAAATTGATGCAATGAGGCAGCGGGAATTTGACGGTGGTTATGTCCTTGAACTTGCTTACCTTGCAGCTGGCATGCGCCAGTTCCATCGATGAAAGCACTCTATTTATCCACGTGACGATTTCGTTGAGAGCCCTGTTGCAAGAGGCCTCTTACAACCAAGAGTGAAATTCTATTATCGAATTTGGTTAATCTTTATTGGAAAAACGCGCTGAGAGGATTTTAGGGGTGTTATCACAATATTGGTAATTGAAATGAGCAAGAGGAGTGATGGCGGTGAGGACCGCAGGGAATTGAGGTGATCGCGAATTAATTATTGAATTCATTAATAATTAACAGGATTTATTGTTAATTACAAAGGGCAAGAGGAGTGTTGCTGAGAATTGTGAGGCATTGAGGTGATCTTCCCCTCTGACTTCGATTAATTATTGAATTTAATGGATAAATCCAAGAGGCCCTTGTTCCACTGTGGGTTCGTTTATGGATGAGGTTAGATTAAATGGGAATTATCTACTCCCCCTGAACTCTCGTTCCAGCGTTGTAACCAATATTGAAAATGGAATTTTTCCTCTACGGTTTCTAATGCTCTCCTCACTTAATATTTATTCAAACTCTTACCGCACTGTTTTTTCAATAATTTTCCACTACAGAATTTCCAATATTTATCCACGTGATGATTTTACTAAGAGTGAAAGGCTGTTATCGAATTCGTTAAATTTTTATTGGAAATACGCCTTGAGAGAATTTCAAAGCAGTTACCGCAATATTTATTGTTAATTTTATAATCCTCTCTTGATCTTTATAGATCAAGAGGAGTGCTGGAGTTAATAATTGTGAGGAATTGAGGTGAGCTTCCCTTTTGACTTCAATTAATTATTGAATTTAATGGATAAATTCAAGAAGCCCTTGTTCCATTGGGGGTTCATTTATGGATGAGGCTAAATTAAGTGGGAATTATCTACTCACCGTGCACTCTTGCTCCAGGGCAATAGATATTCGTCCCTTTGATGAATTAACCAACATTGAAAATTGAATTTCTCGTCTACGGTTTCTAATGCTCTACCTCACTTAATATTTATTTAAAGTCTTTGAGCACTGGTTTGTCAATAATCTTCCACAAGAAAATTCCCAATATTTATCCACGTGATGATTTTACTAAGAGTGAAATTCACTTACCGCAATATTTATTGTTAATTAAAAAGATCAAGAGGAGTGTTGGCGTTGAGAATTCTCAGGAATTGAGGTGATCTTCCCCTTTGACTTCAATTAATTATTAAATTCAATGGATAAATTCAAGAGTCCCTTTTTCCACTGTAGGTTCATTTATGCTAGATTTAATGGGAATTATTTACTCACCGTGAACTCTTGTTCCAGGGCAATAGATCTTCATCCCTTTGATGAATTAACCAACATTGAAAATTGAATTTTTCCTCTACGGTTTCTAATGCTCTACCTCACTTAATATTTATTTAAAGTCTTTGAGCACTGGTTTGTCAATAATCTTCCACAAGAAAATTCCCAATATTTATCCACGTGATGACTTTATTAAGAGTGAAATTCAGTTACCGCAGTATTTATTGTTAATTAAAAAGATCAAGAGGAGTGTTGGCGTTGAGAATTCTGAGGAATTGAGATGATCTTCCCCTTTGACTTTAATTAATTATTGAATTCAATGGATAAATTCAAGAGTCCCTTTTTCCACTGTAGGTTCATTTATGCTAGATTTAATGGGAATTATTTACTCACCGTGAACTCTTGTTCCAGCGCCAATAGATCTTCATCCCTTTGATGAATTAACCAACATTGAAAATTGAATTTTTCCTCTACGGTTTCTAATGCTCTACCTCACTTAATATTTATTTAAAGTCTTTGAGCACTGGTTTGTCAATTATTTTCCACAACGGAATCCCCAACGGTGCTTGATACTTGATGTGGATATATTCCTCTTTAGTGAAGCTCTGGAGCGTTATTACCGAGGATTATCCTTTCAGCAAACTCACCCCCCTTTCTTCCATCTCACTTTTATCATCCCTTCTGCTCTAACATTCTATCCCAATATCTATATTATACAGTGGAAAATTTCGCTCCAGTGCATTGAAAGATTGTCGGACCGAGGGTTTTTTACTCGTCCATTCGTCCACTATCTTTTCAACATTTGAATACATTTCAGTCATTTCGAATATTAAATTGAAATTACATTTTATCAGTTTTTGCCGGTGGATTTCCATGAATCGAGGAGCACTGAATATTCGATGGTACTTTTGGGGAATCAATTGCTGGGGCTTCGATCGATAATTGTTCCCTGGGGAGGAAGTAGGGGCTTTCAAGCGGAGGTTCTGCTGGAATTTTATTCCGAGTTATTCCAGGTTTTAGGGGGATCAAATAGATTATATTTTCAATGCACATTCTGATTTTAGAATCACTTGCGATCTTTTGCAGAATAAATCTCCACGAAACTCTCGCATAATGAGGGAAAAATTTTGGTTATATTCCAGAAGTGAAATCTCGTGTGGGAATTGCGGAATTTTTCTTTGGGAATACATTTTCGAATTATAAAAAAATCAATAGCTGAGAGTTAATCAAGAGCAGAGAGTATATAGAGCACATTAATTGTGAATCATGTCATTATTCCCAATGACAGAATATGGGCATTATTCAAGTGGGATTTGAACTCGCAACCTTCGGATTACTAGTCTGTACTCTAATCTAGAGAGCTATTTAGATTTAGCACTATAGAATTAATTTTCTAATCTTCTTAAATTGTTCAACGACCTGCGTAGCTCCTTGCGGCAATTGAAAAATTAGTAATAAAATCTCAATAACCACAGGGAGAGAATATAAAATTAAAAATTACTATGTGAACAAATTAATTGTGAAATTACTATGTGAACTTCAGTTCGATTTCAGTTGATCGAAGTTGAGCCACTAAAAAACGTCTGAATAAAGTGAAAATGTGTCTGAATTTCAGACGAACAGGTGCCCAAACATCTAAATTCATGTTTGAAAATCAGACAAATTTTCATTATATTCAGATGTATTTTAGTGTCTGAAAAATGTCTACAAAAGGTGTGTAAAATTCACACATTCGTTTTTGCTGTGTTCTCACAGTTAAAATGATTTTCTATTTTTTCCCTGAATGAACTGGCCGAAAAAATCGACAGGAGTCTATGAGATTTGAACTCCCAACCTTCGGGTTAGTAATCCGTCCTCTAAACAACGGACCTACCGAGAGTTACCCCATTCACCCCTGATTTTCTAATCTTCATAAACTGTTCGACCACCGTCGATCATCTCAACGCAA